GACAGGACCTTGACGGGCAAACCAGGGTCATGTCAGGTCCCAGGACAGAGTCAGGGCCCAGACCGTGCCAGGCTGCACTGAGCTAATAAAGACAATTGGTGGGGGCTTTCTAAGTATCAGGTCAAAAAGACCTGCTGGTGAATCCAGCAAAGATCATCTACATGTATGTACCTGTACAGTATGTCCTACAGGACAGTGCTGCTGCCAATACGAACACCTACAGTAGTTAGAAGTCTTCTTTTTTTAAAACCTACTAATATAATGTGTATTAACAATCCTATACACCGCGTATTTGCAGAATACACGGTAAGAAATCATTACACGTCAGGAGTTCAATGAATAATAAATAACGTAATGTGTCCTGAATTCATTTAATGAATGCAGTGCAGTTTGTGAGAATGTCTTTGTGTGCCTAAGACACTCTAGGCATGTGTAAAAACGTCAACATATGTGGAGGCACAAAACAACATCATTTATCTTTTCTTTTGTTATTGCTACTGCCAGCTGTTGCTCCATGAGTTCTCATCCTTCTTAGTTGGGCCTTTATTCAGCGTCTCAATTTGCAAACGAAGCCAGTGTTCCTGCAGAGCTATCATAACTTCTGAAGATCAGTGGCAGGGTCAGAGAGAAGGCCATTCAGCCCATTTAGGTCTTTTGTTTTTTAGTAGTTAATTGATCTGAGGATCCAACCATTTTGTAAAAAACAGGCCAGGGTATCAGCTTCCACAATATGGCTGAGCAGCTTGCTCCATATTTCTACAAATCTCTGCATGAGGAACATGTTGTAGAAGTCCTTCAGGTTGAATTTTTTCAGCGTGTTTGAGGATTTTGAAGATCTCTGTTCCAGTCTAAATTAATGTAGTTTTTCTAGGCTGTCGTTGTAAAAAATTCCTTGAACTCACCTGGTTGCACTTCTCTGAACTGATTCCAGGACAGAGGTATCTTGGCGACCAACATAGTGCACAGTATCTTACATGAGACTTTACTAATTTTGTCATTTGATTTTAATGCAGCATTGCTTGATTTGAATTCTGAACAATTTCAAATCATGGCAGAGACAGAGATAATCAGGCAAAATGGAGATGCTTGTCTGAACCACATTTCCCAAAAGGCTGCAGGGGATGAGACGTAGCCCTCAGTCACCTGACCAGCTGTGAGAAGATGATTGGTCAGTTGACAGTTTAAAAAGGAAGTGGGGGGGCTTTCTCAGTTGGTTTGATCTGGTGTCTGAGGGGCAGAGAGTGGATCCTCTGGGTGCAGATTTGGCAGAGTGAGGAGTGAGGAGTGAGGAGTGAGGAGTGAGGAGTGAGGAGTGAGGAGTGAGGAGTGAGGAGTGAGGAGTGAGGAGTGAGGAGTGAGGAGTGAGAGTGAGCATCTGTAGAACTGCTAATTTTGTATAGAGCCTCCCAATAGGAGATACAGAGGAAGTTTGTGAAGAGACCTAGAGAGAGAGAGATTTTTAAGCAACTTAACAGCCTGGTATAAACATTAGGGACTGAAAGAAGCCTTGATGTTTTGGCACGCCAAACCTAGGGTGTCACAATAAAGATGTATAGAAATATAAATAGGTAGCAATCAGTACTTTTTCAGAGGCTGTGTAAGACCAAGGAAGAGAAAAGAGCTGTGCTGAGAATGCTGTTCTGTGCTTCACTCCCAATACAGGACAGTACATCAATACGTGTAGGCTGGTGCTTTAGTGCTATCGATTGCAGTGGTTAATACTGATGTTTCTTCACCTCTCACATGTAATTAGGCCTCTGCACACTCATGGAGATGGATGTGATGCTGCACGAAAGCCCATTAAAGGTGATCGTGCACATACCAGGAAATGAAAAGGGAAGTCCTTGTGCGTGTCGTGTGATGGAGACCCTTTGCTCCGATACGTTGAACTGGTGGGTCCCTCTGTTGTGCAGAGGGTGCACGCTCTGTCAAGCGATGGCAGTCCCTGCAGGTGTACGGGCTGCCAGGCTGTGTATGACTGTTGGCAAACAGAGAATGCGAGGACCCTGAATGTGTAAACAGCCATGGCTCGCTCAAACTAAGCAGCAGCAACGATCTAAGAATATTCCAGCTCTCTGACTGCATTGCACAAGTCTTTGGCATTTCATTGTGCGCACAACATCGCACATAAATTCATAAGATTACACAGATTTAGCAATGCAGGAATGGCAGTGGGAAAAATGGGAAAACACATCTGAAAGAATTCCCTAGACAGTCGTAAAATTCCAGCATTGCTGTAAATAATCAACGCAGGTTTCACTGCTTCCAATAAAGGGCTGGAATTTCTCTCTTCTGTGCTGCTACAGCTAGTAATGATACTGGTGGGAAGGCTGTCAGTGTCAGTGCACATTAACAGGACTGGAAGGGAAATAATTGACTTTGACTCGTTCTTCTTATGTAATCTCTCTAAATGACTGCTGTCCAGGCAGGGCTATTATAGCTGGGAAGCAGTGGGCCACAGCCCTCGACAGTGATTGTGTAGCTCACAGTGCAGAGCTCTGTGGAGAGGAGGCATGAGGGCTGTAGTTAATTAAAGTTTGAAGTCAGCGTGCGCTGGGACTGGGCTGCCCTGCTTAAACAGTGCTGAGCAAACAATTATATGGGAGCTGGGCTGAGTTTCTAAAGGTTGAGTCAGGAAGGCATTCATATCACCTCATCTTTATTTTCATAGATGAAGAGTGAATGTTATAGAATAATGTGTATGTGAATGTTGCAATGAAATGAAGACTCGGTCTGCAGAGCAGGAAGGAGGATAGATTTGCTAAGTTGTGGCTCTGATGCATGATAAATTCCCTTTTTCTTATGAAACACTGCCAGCTCCGAAACTGCTTATTTCTCTGTTTAATCAATCAATATGGCATTTCATAAAGGTCATTTTATCTCTCTAGGAGCAGCACAGCTGTTTCCTTCCTCCTACACCTCTGCAATGTTTCTGTTCTCTCTTCATCAGCTCCTGTGAGTTAACATGTCTGGTAACAAGGAGAATTTACCATGCAGGGAAAAACTGAGCATTTTGCCCTGTAAAGCAATTTGCTCTAAATGGCCTCAGAGCATAGCTCTGCTGGGTTTGTGATCCTTGCAGGCCCTCGATCTGCTGCATGCTCAGAGTTTTCCCTGTGGTCCCAGCGCAGTCTTCCCTTCTCTGTGGTCTTTAGCGCATCACGTTTGTGGCGGGAACATCTGTTTGTGCTTCATATGTGCCTCTGCTGCAGAGAAGACATAAACCACCCAGAGGTTTGCTTTGGACCATAACCATTTATTCAGCGATGGAGTCTCACTCGACCCACGACTACTGTATGTCCAAAATAGGGAACAACAGGCCACCTCAATGCTCTGATTATTTACAAAAAGGTGCTTTTATTTCTATCTACATGCCTACTGTCAAACAGCAGAATTTACTACTCAGAGGGAATACTGACAGGGAACAGTAATAATAATAATAATAATAATAATAATAATAATAATAATAATAATAATAATAGAACTAGAAAAAATATCCAGAATAAAATAAAATCGGCACTTTTGTCCACAGAATGAGAGTTTGGTGGGCTCAGGTGAACACTGATAAAAAAAAATTTCACACATTTCATTTCACACTGAGCTCAGAGTTAACGTGTCCTGCATCTGTGTCGTGTTCATCACTAGTGGTCCAGGGAGCAGGATGTGTCAAGACAAGAAGCTAATTGTCGGCAGGGGGCACCGTGCCGTTTCCCCCTACACCCTGGGGGCCACACTGCGTCAGAACTCGCTGTTGCGGCTTTAGATTAGAGACCTGTCACCCCGGGGTTCCCCTCCCTATTGTCTGTGCTAATACCACCACTGGGTCTTGTGAGGCTCCCTCAGTGGTGAAAATCTCAAGAAACCAGACTCAGCCCTCAGATATTTGCCCCACTCCCCGATGCCCCAGATGGGCTACAGAATGCAGACTTTGACACATAGGGAGGCGGGAGGGGGCTCTGATCTTTGAGGGGGGCTTCTGATTTACAGGCGTTGGGCCATAATCCCACAGATGGAAGCTTCGCACCACTGGCTCCTTGGCTGAGCTCAGACACCGCGTGTCGGGAGCTGCGGTGTCTCTCATGCTGAGCAGCCTCACGGCCATCTTAACTCACCGCTAGTGGCGTCTCACCTGAGGAGAGCAAGATCTCACCGCGGAGGGGAGCGCCCTTCACAGATTTCTAAGCTCTTTTAGGACAAAAACACATACAAGAGAAGTGTAAAAAACAAATAGGAAAATCCCCAGGTTTGGGTTGTGAAGGCAGCGGCGCCCTGCTTTGAACTCAGTGCACTAGGATCATCTGTAAATGGTGAGGGTGAGGCATCGTGGCTGGAGTTTGGCTATTTCAGCAGGCTGTGGTGCAGTACAAAGATTCAGATCTTATTGATCTGCGGGGTGCAAAGCCTGAAACTACAGCCCGGGCTAAGAGCAGCCTTCCTATTGTCTCTAGGCCTGACTGCCCCTGGATCACAGTCTCAGTCCTGGAGTCATTGAGAGAGAGGAGCTCGGCGCTCCTGAGCTGTCAGACGTGCTGGGTATGGCTGTCTCTCTTGTGCTCCCCCTTTGAAAATATTCTGCGTGAAATCAGCATTGTAGTTCCATCTGCGGGAACTCTATTAATCAAAACAGCCTTCGGAGTAGGAGGTGCGAAGCAGATGGGTGTTTTTAACTCAGTTTCATTTATGCACGGGCTTTGTGCATTTCTCGCCCTGACACTGATTCTCCTGAGCCCATCTGTGAATTGTCTACCCCGTTCTTCAGCATGGATATTCAAGCCAGAGCTAAAAACCTTCAAACTGCCCAGCGATAGGAAGGTGTGAAAGAAGAAAAAAACCCCACAGCAACTAAAAAATAAACAATTTTTTAAAATCCTTTAAAAAATGCCGGTTGGGTTTCGCTATTCAATATTCAATATTCTGTGTGGATGTTGGTGCGAAACATCATGCTGTTGTCCGATTTACGTCATTAGTATCATTAAATAAATACTTTTATTTACACTTGCAAACAAATCCAAATAAAAAAGACTGTAAAATAGTTTTAAATATTTAATCTTTTAAAAAGTTTCGCCCAGCAACAGTATGTCAGATGCTACATCATTTTTTCCCTAATATATAGCCATACACAGCACATCTTTTACAAAGTACAAACATTACAAATAAAAGCAGTTGCACAGTGAGTTGAATGCTTTGACCTGAGTCCAGTTAGAGGAGAAGACTGCTGGTGTTTGGTTGGATAAGAGTTCGGAATACTGTCATCCATCATCACTGAGACCCCGTTTCACGGGGGCATCCGTCTACAGCAGAACACTACAACTACCCATCCTGTGTGTGGGAACCAGAGGAGAAAATACCTTCTTCAATTATTGCGCTACAATATTGATCTTTGCAATATTCTGCAATACTTTAAAAATGTTTCTAGCTTTCTTTCCCATACAATGTCACTGACTATAAAACTTGAATAACACTGTTCCTAAGTTCTGGCAGAAATTCTAGTTGTACTTTCTTTTCTACATTTGGCAAAGATATGTCTCTGAGTAAAACCCAAACTTCTGGAAGGTGTTCATCTGGAAAGAATGTGAAAACGAAAATGCCTCCACACATTTTAGAGTCTTTTGAATATGTTGGCACTCAATGTGGAACTGGCTTGCCTCACATTTAGCCAAGACAACTGAAATTGGGCCTAAAAGATAACACTGCATTTCGTTTTTACCAGGTGAATGAATGCCAGCCATATCTCGATAATTTCAGAGCACTACTAAAACCTCAAAGAAGAAAAGGCATATTGCTTTAAACAAAGTCAGCTTAAAGCCATTCTTGGGCACACATTTCTGGAGTATCTGGACTTTCTTTCCTGATACAAGGCCTCATTGTTTTTGACCAGTGTTTCAGGTATATGACCTATTCCCTCTTGCTTGTACTCGTCCTTTTAAAAGGACACGTATCCAGACAGGTCCAGCCCTGAATATGAGAGAGGAATGGGAGAACATAGTATCCAAGGGGAACTGTTAAGTTTCTCATTTATCTTCACAGATGTAAAAAAATAAAAAAGATAGTTTTGGTCACGGATTAGTACCCATGTCACAGAGCTAAAGCAAGGATATCAACCCGCTTGATGGGGACTAATTCAAAACTGAAGCCAAGGGTAATGTTCGTCGTGACGGCAGCAGTTATCAAACAGAAACTGCAAGGTTCATTCGTTGTAAGAGTTCAAAAAATAAACGATCCCTTTTTTAAGTGGAGGGTGAGCTGCTACCCATCCCATCCTGGTGCAGAAAAAGCTGCTCGAGTCTTGAACTGAGAGGGCTTAAGGTTACTGTAAAATACTAGATGCAGATATTCATGCTGACAGCTGCTGAGATATAAATAAAGGCAGTCCTTTTTCTGAGTCGGAGGAGAGAGAAGAAAGTCTTGCATTTATTTTGTCTCCCCCCTCCCATGGAAGTTAGCCATCCGCGTGCCTCGTCACTGCATTCCTGATCCACGTCCGTGTTTCCAGAGAGCGCAGATTACCTCTGGGAGGCACTAAGACCCAGACAAGTGATCCCTGAGAGAGTCAATGGGGACAGCTGGTAGACACAGATTTCTCTCCATTCACAGATCGCCTGATGAGGCAGCTGGAGCCCGACTGCAGACATGACATGCATTTTGCCAACCAGACTGCATTATCTCTAAGCAGACGCTCAGTGAGCACAGCGCTCAGACCCTGTACAAAAGACCTCTGCCTCAACGGCGATATGCATCCTCAATTCCAAGAAAAAAAGAATTAAATGAACGCAGCAGAAAACGAGTGCAAACAGACCCACATATGAATTCGTGCAAGGAACACCGTTAGAGATAATACAAAGGTCATCCAGTAGCAAGATGATGAAACTGCTAATTCCAAATCAGGAGGCATTATAACATGACTCAGAACTGGGGCTGCAGACATCATTCCAGTATCTCTTGCCTGAATAATCACTGCTCTGCACATGCTAAATATTATTGAGTCAAATAAACGGCAAAAAGCCTCCCCAATCACAATGTTTCAGGGTGTTTCCTGCTCCTTTGATAAAATATGTGTTAAAACATCTTTTTATCACTATAGGTAAGATTAAGGTCTCATATGCAACAAATAATAACAGCATTAGTGTAGGACTCCTGCTGCTTGTGTCTTGAAATGTCAGTGACTTTCTTGCCTTTTGTATTTTTTAAACTGGCAATATCACATCCATTTGGACATCCATTAGAAATGTGAGCATCACCTAATTTTGTTGGTTTTCAACGTGCAGAACTCTGAAACCTGAAGCTCTTTTTAAAATTCTCACAGCTACAAATCCAATGTAAAACCTGTTCTAAACAAGCCAGATTGAGCAATCAGTTTAAGACTAATAAGATGAATATATCCAGTGCTTTATACTTAAGAAAAGGGTTACAACATATTGTCTGCTCTCCTTTATTCCCTCTGCAGGGGTTAACTAAAACTCAGAAACAGTGCTTGTATTTACATTGCTACCATGTAAATGCTCTTAACACTGATTCTTGCGGACCTCACAGATAATTGCAAAAACATTTTAATCACCTTGATGCCGAAGTTCTCTCAGAAGCTGATTTTGGAAACGGAGGATTCATTATCAAAGCACCCCCCACCCCCCCACTCCCCTCCGCCTCTGCTTGTTAAATGTTCTCTCCACACCCTTTTTTGTGAAGAGCAAAGGATTTGCAGAACCTTTTCACTAAGCTCGCCGAAATGTCACACTGGTATAAGAGAAGCACCTGCTCTCACTGGGCTCTGAAGGGACAAGAGAGAGGGAGGGGGCACTGTATCAGGGTTGAACAGCTGCTTAATTTCCTGTGAGATGGTCGGGTTGGCAAGACGGAGATGCTGAGATGCTGAGCCTCAGTAAGTAAATACCAGGTCAGAAATGCTGGGCACGAGCAAGTCCCCGGAAATCATCTCGTTCACCTCCGGCGTGCAGTAGTCTGGGAAGTCAAAGTGTGATCCTGAGTTTGCATGGAAGGCGTCGAAGTCCTTGTCCAGGGAAGAGCAGTCCATGGGCAGGCTGTCGAAGCTGGCGTTGGAGATGATGTGCAGTATCTCCTCGTCTAGCTCCTCGTCGGAGGAGGAGGACGAGGAGGACACGAGGGACGAGGAGCTGGTGGAGGTGGGTGTAGAGGACCTGCCGCCCACAGGTGCTCTGTGATCAGCCAACTTGGGCTCGCGGGGGGCCCGACAGACATCCCCTGTCGCCGTGACGTCTGGCAGGGCGATGAGGCAGGAAGGCTGAGAAACGGGAGCCTCGCTTTTGATCTGAGCAGCCACTGGCCTGTCCGCTGCATGCCCCTGAGGTTCCTGCTGGTGATAGGAGCTGAGGACAGGCTTTGGTGCCTCTTGATCATCCTTCTGACCTGCTGGGCTCAAGAGCTTTACATCCATGGCATCGTCTTCACTTTCGCCCCTGTCATAGCTGTTGTGTTTATTGCCAGTAAGGTTCACTTTGTGTTTGGAAGCAGAGGTTTTGATTTTGAGCACCTTGCTGGTGGTTGTGCGGCTGGGGTAAGACTTGTTCTTGGGGGAGGCCTTTTCTCCAGCTTTGATGGACCCTGAAGACTTGCTCTTCTTCCTGGGTCGGTACTTGTAGTCGGGGTAGTCGGCCATGTGCTTCAGTCTCAGCCGCTCCGCCTCCTTGATGAAAGGGATCTTCTCGTAGTCCGGCAGGAGCTTCCACCTTTTGCCCAGGCGCTTGGAGATCTCCGCGTTGTGCATGTCCGGCCACTGTTCCATGATTTTCCGCCTCTCGATCTGTGACCAGACCATGAAGGCGTTCATGGGCCTTTTGATGTGCCCGGTTGGAGTCTTGCACCAGTTGGGGTCCTTGCTGGAGGGGACGCACCCGAAAACCTCATCCCCTTCCTCGGGTCCCAGTCCCGCGAAAGCGTCTTGGGTCGAACCGCTTCCCATGGTCATGGAGTGTTTGTGTCCTCTTTGCTGAACCATGATGCACGAGCGAGCTCTAG